GCAGATGTGAGTGAACCTGGGTTTGTGTATGTTCATCAGAGGTTTGAATGTGAAGCTGAGACTCAGTTGAAAATGTGACAGGGTTCAGGTCTTACCTATGTTGGGGAACAGAGTGTCTGAGGTGGACCTCTGTTGGATCAGTGCCTGCATCTGTTTCTGCTGCTGCTGCTCCTGACGCTCTTGGTCCAGGAGTTCCTGCAGGAGGAGGGGCTGCTCCTCCAAGAGCAGGGGCCGAGCTTTGCTTAGGTTCTGCATCTGGTTCTGAGTGGACGCTCCCAGGTGTGGAAGTTGGTTCTGAGTGTTGAGAAGGAGATGGTGTTGGGGGGGTTGAACGGAGAGTGGATGAGGGGTGAGGAGGGACGAGGGTCCAAAGGGTCTCTGCTGCTGCTGGAAGACGGATGGTTGCCCTAGAGACGAGGTGACAGATGAGACATTGTGGTTTAATTTCATCAACTCAATCAACACAGATCAATAATCTATCAATAAAAACTGATCTGTTCACCTGCAGCTGCAGGGGGTTGAACCCTAGGAGCCATGACTGACATCGGAGCCAGTTCATGGGCCTGAAGAGCAGGAACGACCCCCAAGTCCTCCACCTTCTCCTGGAGGGAAGAAAACACGATAATCAAAACAACTTATTTTGTCAAATTATTGACGAGGTGTTTATTCTGTTATTGATCAGCTCTTGTAACACAATGAGAGATGCTCTCACCTTGGCGAGAAGGGCAGAGGAGCCGACCTGGCTGGAGCCTGCTGCCTTGGTCCCTGGAGCTCCTGGGGGTCCTTGAGTTCTGGCGACAGCTCCAGGTTGTGTTGTCAGGTGCAGGTCTGCTGAGGGATCGTCTCTAACTTCTATCTTAACGCAGTCCTTCACTTCCTGTTTAACCTGGGCCGTCGGGTGGAAGTGGCTATCTGTCCTTCTGGACCCCTCTGCAACATCACTCCTCTCTCCCCCGTCCTTGTCATCCGGCTCCCCGAGGTCCAGCTCCTCGTTGAACATGTCCTTTTTGTCCTCCAGATTGAGCTCCGGGTCAGCGTAGGCGATCAGGTCAAACTTACCGGACAGCAGGAAGTCATCAAGATGTAAGTCGTTAGGACCCAGATCCAGGTCCTCTTTACCTGAAACAGATCCAGAACGGGAGAGATGAGAAGAACTGACAGGTTCAATATCATTGATTGAGTCTGAATTAAATATTGTATTCTTATTGTTCCCCGTTTCACTGATCATCAATATTTGGAACTTCCGACTCATGAGTACTCAGTGCTACCTCACGAGTAATCACATATCATGGTGAGTCTAAACATCACCCTGCTGATCTCATTCTTCTGCCAAACTGATGTGACTCATACCGTCTTCAGGGTCGAGGTTCAGGTTGAGGTCGACCAGATCTTTCACCTCCACATCCTCAAGGTCTTTCACAGCAGACTCCTCCCCCTCCAGGTGCTCCTCAATCCCCTCAGCCACTGGGAGAGTTGACTCTGGGCCACTTTGAGTCAGAGCTGTCGTGTGGCTGAGGTGCTGCTGGTTCAGCTGCTCCACGCCACCCGCAATCACCATCTGCACGCCCAGAGGGATCTCGCCCATCCTAGGACCTTGACTGGGCCTGACGCTGGACAGCTGTGGGTCTCTGGGGTGCAGCAGCGGGGCCTCAGGTGGAGGGAAGGGCAGCCTCAGGCGATTCTCAGGGGCCCGGTGTCGGAGCTCGATGTAAGGCTGTCCCCTGATGCTGTGCTGTTGGATGGGGAGGGAACGTGGGAGGAACGGCTGGGGGACACCTGAGCAGGTAGGCAGGAGCAGAAACAGCGTCTTTGTAAAATACCAAGATATTTAATCTTGTGAATTTTGGTACTTTAATCATTTAATTAAAGTACCAAACACAATATACAAATACAACAACAGAGTCAAGAAGATGACAAAACTTGACACATTATTTTCACTCTTTTCAGTTTTTGTTTTAATTGATTGATTGTTATTCCATCAAACAGTCGATGATGCGTCTCTAACCTGGTATCATGGGTGGGAGAGCGTTAGGACTGGGGAGGGGTCGGTTGCCAGTGAACTCTCCAGTCAACGGCCTCCTCATCTGGACCGGGACTCCCTCTGCTCCACTGAGCCCAGAACCAGGCAACGAACCCTGGGGAGGTCGCAAAAATGAGTCCTGGGGAACTGGAGCTCCTGGAGGAACAGTGAACCTGAAGAAAGGGAAGAGATGAGTTCAGACCACATCATCACATCACCTCACGACCAGGTTTGGTTTATCCTCTCACCTCAGGACCGGTCCTCTAACACCCAGCTCTCTGGGGAAGCTCTGCCTGGGGAACGGAGCATCGCTGGGCGTGAAGCTTCTCTGCTGCTCCCCTGAGAAACCTCCAGGGAAGCTCGAAACTGGAGCCACTGCCAGACCACCAGGTCTCACAGTGCCGGGGTAGGGAGGTGGGGGGCGTGCAAACAATTCTGCTGGAGGAGTTGAAGGGTCGTCCTGAGACCAGTGACGGGGTGTCCCTGAACCAGGAGCAGGTGGAACAGTAAGAGATGAAGGTGGTCCTGAAGCTGGTTCCTGGAGACCTTTCTCCTGACGTAATGCACATTTCTGCTGCTGCTGCCTCAGGATGAGCTGACGCAACCGCTGACGCTGCACCGGAGCAGAGAGAATATGCAGTAGAACACAGCGGAACACAGTAGAACACAGCGGAACACAGTACAGAAGTGAATCACCTGTCTTACCTGTCGCAACTTCTCCTCTGAGTCACCAGGCTGCGGGAGAATGCTCATTGGTCCATCTAGAGAGGCCACACCCAGCACTGCCATTTCATTGGCTGCTGTCTTCTCAATCTGTGAAAGGCCTGGTGTCATGTGACCCTGCTCAAAGGGGTCGTGGCCTGGAGTTTGACCAGGGAAACTGTCTTCTGGCATCCCAGGGTGCTTTGGGGTCTGACTGCTTCTGGGAAAAGAGTCCTGTTGTTTTCCTGGAGACTGAAGGGAGAAAAATTGTGACTGTTGTGACTCTGACTTGTGTACACTGCAGGAGAGATGTGTGAACTGTAGTACAGACCCCACGTACCTGGTGGGGGGTCGGGGTGAAGGTCTCTCCTGGGGCCAGAGGGGTGAAGTTCTCCACTGGGGCTTGGATGAAGGACTCAGGGCCCTTCTGCGGCCTCGGTGTGGATGGTTGCTGGGTGTAGGGGTCAGTGCTCCGCTGACTCCCTGGTGATCGAGGGACACGCTCAGAGACAGAGGGGCGGGGCGTCCCTGGGTTGGAGTTGTAAGGGT